TCTTCTTCTTCTTCTTCTTCTTCTTCTTCTTCTTCTTCTTCTTCTTCCTCTACCTCTACCTCTTCCTCTTCCTCCTCCTCTTCTCCTTCTCCTCCTTCTCCTTCTCCTCCTCCTCTTTCTTCTTCTCCTCCTCCTCCTCCTTCTCTTCCTCCTCCTCCTCCTTCTTCTTCCTCTTCCTCCTCCTTATCTTTTTCCATAATGGTCATAGGTCAAAAAGAAATGACTAACAGTTCTGTTGATATATTAAGGACCTTGGTCTGATGATTTTATAAGCTTTCACTTCCTAAAAACTTAGCTGTCATTCAAGCAAATACTACTCTCATTTCATGCTCAAGTAACGAATTGCACACTAAATGGAATGAGTTCAGCAGAAAAGTAACCAAGACAGTAGTAAAACCTGAGATAAAAAAGGAAACCCTGGAGAGATGGATACATAATGAAGAACATGCACTGTTCTCCCAGGGACCCTTTTGTGTCCAATCACCCACATCAAGGGCTCACAACCACCTCTGACTTTAGTCTGGAAGGTTCAATACTTCTGGCCTCCGAAAGCACCTGCATTCCCATGCAAATAACTCTGTATCTTTATACATGTACATAATTATCATAATAAATATGTTTGAAAGAAACAAGGAGATCAAATTTATATTTTAAAAGCCAACAACCTCATTTAAAAAAAAAAGTAGTTTCTGATCCTTCTAAGGTGTCACTAAGCAAATGTCATCCTTAGCCTCTGATCACTTAAGACTAATATTCCCCTTCAGATTGCCTGCAAAGAGACAGCAATATGCTCTGTCTTAAGTGTCAGCATCACATATACAGATATTCCAATAATTCTGTCTCCTGTATGATTTGTTTAAATTAGCACCACATATTAGGCAGACTTGAGGAATCATGTAAACTATTTCACTAATCAGATTTTGTGTGGTGTGCATGTTAATTCTACCTGCAAAATTTGTCTCTATATCATGAACACCATTAAATATAAACAACAAAATCATCATATTCCAAAAAAGAAAAATAAAAACAAACAAACAAAACATTGTGAAATTATGGAGACAGAAGAGTTTGTCCAAGAGTGTGTGGATTTGCAGTGTCCAACTACTCCTTGCTAGAGGATTGCCCTAGTTCTGATAGTCATCTGGTGGATTTAGTTAAAATCACTTGCTGTT